GTAACTTGTACTGAATATAAACAAGTTCATGTATCTACATATTTATCCACATATCATATCAACAAGTTTATTTGTCTACACATACAAAAACACTCACAAGTAAAGACAAAATGTTGCATTTGTAGGTGCAAGGCTTTGCAGCCAGGAGCACATGCCTTGAAGGAGCATAGGTATTAGCATCAACTGGGCAAAAGGAGATGTTTTTCTAGATGCCAAGAAAAATTAAATGCCAAACCCCCCTGCAAAGTGTGTCACTGAGAGTTTTAAACAAAAATCATTCTTGTGCAAATATTAGTGTATTCTCCTTTAATACTAGTTATTAAAATGCAGCAGTTGCTGGATTGGTGCAGTTCAAAGTGGATTGCATCAAATAAAAGAATATTAACATAAAGGTGAGACGTGTCATAATCCCCCCCCCCACCACAGCTGGAAAAATTCCTAAGGGAAACACTACGTTTACATGCAGCCAATATCCGGGTTACGATCGGGTTAAGGTCGGTATTCGGGTTTCTGAGTTGATCAGAATAACCCGTTTACAAGCATAAATAGAAAGAGTTACCCCTAACTTGCATAACCCGATTTAAATGCGGACGTTGGGGTAGCGTCAGGACGTGTGGACTACGTCCAGACGCAATATGCGTCATTTCCGGTTCTTCTTGTTTCGGTATCCGTGAAAACAACATGTTTCCCAGTTCGGAAGAGATAGCGACCGCGTTTGTTTGCGCTTTAGTTTCCTCGTCACTCCAAAAGTGTGGTGCTGTGCCGCGACTCGCCATGTTGCTCCCAACTTGTTGTTTACTTCCGGTGTTCTGGCGCATACAAGACGTCTCGCTACTCAAAAGACCAAGATTCCTTGTGAACAGAGCATGTGCAGAACACACGCTTTGATGGGGATATCCCGGTATGCGTTTACACGACCAAACATTCGGGTTAGAAAAGGGTTACCCCAGGTGTAGTAACCGGGTTTTTAAATACCCGGTTATGAGCATATCCGGGTTTTTGGCGGTGTTTATATGGACCTGCGGAACCGGGTTATTGTCAATATTCGGGTTTTAAAAGGGTTGCTGGCTGGCTGCATGTAAACGCACTCACAGGTTACGCATTAAGAACTGTTGTGATTGGTGGATCCCAGGGTGTATCAGGCCCACAAAAACTTAAAGCATCACTTTACGTCAATTAACGTATTGCCTGATCTTATACTGGAATACATGGTGCTTTACCAGTTGTTCCTATATTTTATGCCGTCATGCTTACTTAGATGCCCACACACAATAAAATATCAATTCATGAATTATTTTTTAGAATCTTTTTCAGGCCATTCTGTTTTTTTTAATAACGATTGTAAATATGTTTGACCAAGAATGAGGTGGTTGTAACTGTCTGGTTCAGGCCTAATGGTTTGATAGTTTTGATGGATACGCAGAGTTCAGTGAGAGCATGGATTAACACACCTTTGTGTTCGACACTTTTTTCTACTTGGTGCTTTATGTAGAATAATTCAGGATGCTGCATCTTTCTGGCCTGAATTTGTGTGGAAAACCATTTTGATCTGAAACACACCAGTCCTCTACAAAGCCGTTGGGACTGGGCCAGAGTCCCAAACCTTTGGCCTTCTTGGCCTTTCTTTGTTCCTCCACCGCACATAACACAGCATCAGCATGCTCTCCGGCACTTTCACAACATCAACAGTGTGTTTTTCCTCTGTTATTGCGTTGCAAGTAGTGATGGGAGCAGTATGTTAAGCAGAACCGTGTGTGTGTGTGGGTCAGCACAGAAGAAAATGTTGTGTTAAGGGGGCTATTATGGCTGGAGTGTGTGCATGGAGAATAAATGACATATTTTTCGATTTCAAAGCAATGCACTGTCAGTGCAACCAAATTGGAAAGCAGCCAGGAAGAAACCTTGTCCAAGATAATGCAGTCATTCATAGTTTGAACAAACAGGTGACTTAACATCTTTTAGGTCAACAAGAAAAGGTGATTTCAAACTAAACACCAGGTTCTCCTCAGTTTTATTACTTTTAAAGAGCAAGTCACCCCCTACCAGAGTGTTACTCCACTCCCACTTCCTGTTTGAAAAATGAAACAAATGCTGTTCCCTAGCAGACTGAGAGGGCGGAGCCGCTAACAAATACACACACATAGGCTCGCAACAACATTGTGACATCACATGGTACCAGCAAACATTCTAGGGTACCTCTTAGCCAATAGCGATGGCAGATTTAAATTAAAATGCAGTGCAGAGTTTTTACCTGACAACGGCACAACACTGACAGTTTTAGGCAGAAAATTAAATTTTTAACTAAAGTGCAAAACTATTGACTACACGCAGCATGATTAGACACACATTTTTATAGTTTATCAGAAAAAAAAGTTGATTTTGGGGGTGACTTGCTCTTTAACAAAGCTTACTATGAGAAGTTATCCTGCTAGGAAAGGTGTGAGGCCTGTGGATATTATGAATGTCTTGTTCCTCCACACCGTGGCACAGAGCTGTACCAACTTCTCTTACGTCACAGATCTGTTTATAGAAGAGGAAAGTTGAGGCCAAGCATTGCTAATCCCGTGTTGGTACGCTGCCTGCTGGAGGAGCTCACCTGAATGAGCTCTTGTTTAAAACATGACCTACTTTTCTTAGTTTTTTCTCTTCATTGTGCCATTATTTACACGCATCATCAAAGTAAATCGAGCATTAGTATATTGTTTTGGTCAATATGTAAACCTTTGATTTGTACAGATGGGTACTTTTTCCATGGTTTTATAAATATTATGTGCAAATGTTAAAATGTAAATAGGAGTTTATGACTGTTACCTTATGATGTGTTATTTCATTCATTGTTTTCTCTTTTGCAGACTGGTGTCGTCCATCCATGCTCTTATGGCTACCACAGCAGGGGTCATTGTTGTTGCATCGTGTCAAGGCAACGTTATTTATGACAGGTCAGTCTTCATGTCTGCCACAGATGCCATGCATGAGAAAAAGTGTTACAAAGCACCTCTGTGAGACGTAGCTCATACAGCGTTTACATAAACAGTCAGCTGTTGGATGTTATGTCAGCAAATCCCAGAGTTTCCCCATTTAAAAGCCGCTCCATGTTGTTTTTTCCTGAGAAGCTTTTCGCCCAGAGCCCCTTTACCTTTAGATTAGGCACCTAGCTGCACATATGTGGTAACGTATCATTAGCGTCTTTATGCAGTTTAGAGTGTGACGCTAGGCTAATGCTAGCCTCTTAATCCTCCTGAGTCAGCAGCCTGACCCAGGCAGTCCCAGTTTTCAGGTTGCTAATCTCAGTCACCAGCTCCCACTCCCCTCCCCTTCGCCCAGCGAGCTTAAATCCTTCACAACGCTGCTCAGTTCTGCTGTCCAGTGACGTGCCGTGAGCCTGGAGCATACCAGACACATGCACCAGAGTCAGACCCACAAAGTTGTATCGCGATGTGTCATTTCATTTAGCTGTCTTTGTCTCATTTACAGCAGCTTTTGAGACTGTTTCAGCAGGAATTATCCCCATTGTGTGTTTTGCTCTTTTCTAAGCCTTGACACCAACCTAAGCTACTAAAAGAACAAGGATTTTATAGACTGTAGTTTAACATTAAATCATTCTTGCTGTTGTAAAAAAAAAAAAAAAAGCTTAAAACTAAAATGCAGAACTACAACCACCTTGTGGTAGAATACACCCTTTAATGACATCCTTATTGGCTCACTGAGACTTGGCTCTGTGAGATGGATCTTTTTATTTTTATTATTACATTTGAAACTAAATCATTTGTAGTTTATTTTGCCCAAACACGACGAGTACTATTCCAGCCTAACTCTAATGATGTAGCTTCCAATCCGCCCGGAGCTGTTTGTTGTGCCTTCCTGCGTTTAATCATCGTCCTCTGCCTTTAAGAACTAAAGAACCAAGTGAAAGGTCAGAGGTCATCAGCTTGGAGCTGCCTTGCCGCTTGACTCAGTTTCTGTCCACATAATTAACCATCAGTGTAATCTGTGCCTAATAGAGCGCTGCGAACGTCCAAGTTGTTTTCATGTTGAAGTTGCATAAGCCCGCCTGGAGCCTTTACAATAATGTGCTTGTGAGAGTTTGGATGAACAAAGAGCACGTTTCTTCTTTTAAACTAAAGGTCATTTTGGCTTGTTTTCATTAGTCTACTGTAGCATAATTCACTGTGAAGATGCTAACTAGGAACTGAACATAAAATGGCCAAAGTGACCCGCTTGTCTTAAGTAAGAAATTATGACTTTGACTGGATTTTTGTTTAAGATTAAAAGGATATTTTGTCTGTTGCCACATTCCCCAGATAAATGGGAAAAAGCATTTTGTAACCAACTCAGTCTTTCTCCTACTCTGGCAGTGTTCCTTTACCTTTAGCTTAGCATAAACAATGTGAATGATAATAGCTAGCATGTCGCGTGAAAAAGTTATGGAAGTGATTCAATAATCATCATCATCTTTCCATCCATCCTTTAGTTATGAAGCACATTTAAAACTCAGTGTTACAGCTGACCAAAGTGCTGTACATACAAGGGATGTAAGCCATAAAAATGGTGGCAAAGCAAGACCCGCCCAAACTATACTGACAATAAAATACACAATAAATGAGTGATTCCAACAAGAAGGCAGGAGACAAGCAGAGTAAAAACGATGGGTCTTTGTTCGCACCATTGCATTTATTTCTACTGAGGAAGGTCACCCAACTTAAACCATTCAGGGTTTCCCCCAGCGCTTTATAAGCCTGGCCACCCGCCAGGCTAAGTGTCATGCCCCGCCCCCCTCCCCAACCCTACCGTGTCCGCTGACACGAATGACGCAACGAAGCTAGCGCCCTCCATCAGCTGATACTGGTGAGAAACAGCAGTGGAGCGTGTGCAACACCCCCACCCCCGCTCTCACAGAGGAGCGCTGCAGGACGGAGTCCTAAACCCCCCCCCCCGACAGCCGAATCCGCCAGGCTTCTGGCGGGAAACCCTGCAATTTATTATGCTTTTTCACAAAATCAGGCATATGGCGTTGTGTTATAGTTGAGATATAAATAAAGTTACAAAGTAAAAAAAATTCTAAATATAAAGTCCCAACAAGTAGGCTAGAAAAGTCCCACGTGATCGGTTTTCAACAGTGCACCGGTGGTTGCAACCATAGTTTGTACAAATAACGGGCATAGTTGCTCACTCTGCGCTGACTTCAGTTGGGTTTGGAGACCTGCCCAATATGGCAGCGATGCTGTTACGCTCTCCGTAGTCCAATAGGGCGTCTACATATTCTCGTCAATGGAAAGAACCAATTGTTACTGCAGCAAAACCCTCTCATTTATTTATTAGTGCAATCTTTTCATTTCAGCCAATTAGCTGTGTGCGTGCGTGTGTGTGTGTGTGTGTGTGTGTGCGTGCGTGCGTGCGCGTGCGTGCGTGCGTGCGTGCGTGTGTGTGTGTGTGTGTGCGTGTGTGTGTGTGTGTGTAGTAATGCACATCCATGGTCATTACTGCCTGATTGCTGTTGACAGTTGTTACAGAAAAGCACCGAGGGTTAATACCCACATAAAACAGACACGGTCAGTTGCTGTGTAATAAATGAAAGCCGTGCATGCGGGAAAAGGCCTTTTGTGTAACAATAGCTGCAGTCGGAACAGCGATGGACCGGAGTAAGGCAAAGCCATTGGAGAAGTTCACCCACAGCCATCCTCCTTGGTCAGATAAGCCAGTGAGAAAAGAGCACCATCTTTGCTGTAGAGGGCAAACTCCTCATTATCGTGTTTTCTTCTATTCGAACACATTTTAACCCAAAATTCATGATGTTTTACCCCTTTATTCCCTGCAGTAGCTTAAAAAGAATAGTTATAATTTAACATCTGGTAATGTATTTGTGTTCCTCAGGCACTGGCTGGCCACCCATTTTGTCATCTGGTACGGAGTCCCCTACATGACATACGATATCTTCGCTATGTACCTCAGTCACTACTACCGCTACCGCGTCAAAGGGCACGAGGACTACAAGCAGCATTCGCTGAGGACCATAAACTCCTTCGTCCGGAGAGAGTTTCTGCTGGTGCTGCATCACATCGCGCTGCTCACCATCCTTCTGCCCATCACTCTGGTAAGGGGGGGGGGGATTGAGACAGCAATGATGAGGTCATGCTGTCAGCAGTCCAGACCAACAATTAAAGAAAATGTTGTGCTCAAGGCAGCGTAGTTCGTGCTAGCGGTCCAGCTTGCTGCATTAAGATGTGAGAATTTGTCTTGCATTTTCGTTTGTAAATTTAAAATAATTCAAAATAACGCAAAAATGTACTAAACAATTATTACTAAATAAATCTGAGGGCCTTGTTTTTATTTTTGCATGCATGCACCCTGGAGCACCTTCCAAAAGAACCAGGTTAAAACAGTAGCTGGTCGGCCGCTGGCAGGAATCACCGACTACAATCTCCATCCTTCATCAGCGTTGATCAGTACAAGTCCCGCCCACTCTCCTCTACACAATCATCAAATAATTGCTTCAAATAAAATGTTTGATTAAAAAAGGAGAATTAAGAACTAGGGGTAGACCGATTTAATCCCTCTTTAGTAGAGCTGTTTTAAAGTCGGGCACATCCACGGCACGGGCAGCCCATAGCTGTTTCCTAATTTATTTCAATCTATTTTTGTGCTTTTTAAACACATCTATGTAAAAAATGCTCTAAAACATTGTCAACTCACATATTTTTAATGCTTCACTTTATTAATATTTTCAGTTGAAGAGACGATGTGTAGTTTTTACCATTAATATCTGAAAATATCCATCGAGATGTTGTTGAAAATAAATTAAATGAATCCCAGTTGTTAAAAAATATTGGCAGCTTTTTAACATACAACCATAAAATACATGGGAACTGGTCTAAGTCTTTGGGCGACGCTGTGTTTCCTTCTACGGGAGCCCGTGATGCCAAAACGATGTACTGATCTGCAACAAGCGATTAAAAAACTTTTGCCATTCATAAACGTTGATGTTTTACACATTTGCTGTGCTGAGCATAAATGAGTACACCCCCTTTTAAAGGTACGGATTTAATCAGCAGATCAAAGAACAAAAGAACAATTTCCAGATTTTTCACCAGGCTGGGCTCTACTGAACACTTGTTTAACTCCATAACATGAAATTAAGGTTAATAATATAACTTGGATCACAAAGTCTTCAGCACCAAGTCTTCTAGGCATGGAATGAACAAGTTGGCGACATATTGCAAAATCTGTCTTCTTCCATTCTTCAAGGATAATCTCTCTTAGAGGCTGGATGGAGAGGGATGCTCAACTTTCTGCTTCAGAACTGCCCACAGGTGTTGGATTGGGTTCAGATCAGCAGACATACGTGGTCGTTCAGTCACCTTCACCCTGTTCTTCTTCAGAAACACAACAGTAGCTCTAGATGTGTGTTTGGATCATTGTCGTCTTAGAAAAGTGCACGACGACCAAGTGCATGGAGTGATGGCAGCATCTTCTCCTTCAGTATAGAGCAGTACAATGTTGAGTTCACGATACCAACAATGAGATGCAGTTCCCAACACCAGCAGCACTCATGCAGCTCACATAAGGACACTGCCACCACCTGGGGTGGACTGGGACCAAAATTCGGCCCTGGCATTTTTACGAATCGTCGGCCCTCCCCATTGGGAGAGCGGTGGGGGGTGTTGCCGCCCGCGGACTCATCTCTAGGCCGAATGTGATATCTAATATAGACTGGGACTGTTAAATTACAAGCAGGGCCAGACCACTGCGACTGGGAGCCCTGGCCTTCCAGATCAGCTCATTCTCCACAGGCAGAGATCAGCAGGACATTAGCTACCTGCTAACGCGGTAAAACAACTCCTACGTTATCGCTCGACCACGTTTTTCTTGCTAAAAACGCTTGAAAAAAATTCTGTTAGCTTCGGGTTACCATGTAGCTAATGTTCTGCAGATCACCAACTGTGGAGTAGTGTCGGCCCAAGCTGGGTAAGCAGCCCACTTGGCTAAGCGGCCCACTGGGACACTGCCAGAATGCCAGATAGGCCAGTCCACCCCTGGCCACCACCATGCTTCACTGTAGGCACCACGCATTTCTCTTTGAAATGCTCACCTCACTTTTTTGTGTTTGCAAATGAACAAATCTTGTTTGCAATAAATGGCCCACTCTACTGTCCACTCCTTGTTCACTCCCCTTTATGATTCATTTTGCTGCCTCACTGCCACATAGGACTGACTGATTAGAGTTTGTTGTTGGCCTCAAGGGCAACTTGCTGGCTTCATTAGCACTTGTAAGTCATTTTGGACAAAAAGGTCTGCTAAGTACATAAACATAAACATTTGTGGGAGTGTTTTGTAGTTTGGTATCTCATAGAAAAGGAAACTAAAGGTTTTCTGACAAATGTAGTGGGGTGTACTCATTTATGCTGAGCACTGTGCTTTTTCACGTGTTGCCAGTGATGAAAGGGAGTCTGATGTGCTTGTCATTTTGCTGAAGGTGAACGATCTGATGTAGTACCCGATCAAAAATTGCACTCCTAGGGATTTTTGACCCTAATGGCTATCTGTTGCATGGTTTCCCTCAGCGCTTTATTAGCCTGGTCACCCGGCTAAGCGTGGTTCCACCCCCCGCTCCTCTACCTTCTCCGCTGACACGGATGCACTTCAGCGAAACGAACCGTGGGCGTCCCCTCCGCTTTACTGACGAGAAACGGTAGCAGAGCGATTCGTGCGCGCCTGCGCTGTCACAGATGAGGAACGGCAGCGTAACGTTCTGTTGGTCATCAGCTGCAAAAGATTTCTGAGGCTTTTAAAAACTCCCAGCCTGGTTCATTACTCAAAACCGCAATCATGGGTAAGACTGCCGACCTGACTGCTGTCCAGAAGGCCGTCATTGACACCCTCAAGCAAGAGGGTAAGACACAGAAAGAAATTTCTGAACGAATAGGCTGTTCCCAGAGTGCTGTATCAAGGCTCCTCAGTGGGAAACCTGTGGGAAGGAAAAAGTGTGGCAGATCGCTGCACAACGAGAAGAGGTGAACGGACCCTGAGGAAGATTGTGGAGAAGGCCCAATTCCATACCTTGGGCAGTGGACTGAGTCTGGAGTAGAAACATCCAGAACCACCGTGTACAGGCGTGTGCAGGAAATGGCCTACAGGTGCCGCATTCCCCAGGTCAAGCCACTTTTGAACCAGAAACAGCGGCAGAAGCGCCTGACCTGGGCTACAGAGAAGCAGCACTGGACTGTGGCTCAGTGGTCCTGAATTGGAATGTTTATTATGTGAAGTGCCTTGAGACGACTCTGGTCGTGATTTGGCGCTACATAAATAAAATTGAATTGAATTGAATTGGTCCAAAGTACTTTTTTCAGATGAAAGCAAATTTTGCACGTCATTCAGAAATCAAGGTGCCAGAGTCTGGAGGAAGATTGGGCAGAGGGAAATGCCAACATGCCTGAAGTCCAGTGTCAAGTACCCACAGTCAGTGATGGTCTGGGGCGCCATGTCAGCTGCTGGTGTTGGTCCACTGTGTTTTATCAAGGGCAGGGTCAATGCAGCTAGCTATCAGGAGATTTTGGAGCACTTCATGCTTCCATCTGCTGAAAACTTAATGGAGATGAAGATTTCACTTTTCAGCACAACCTGGCGCCTGCTCACAGTGCCAAAACCACTGGTGAATGGTTTACTGACCATGGTATTACTGTGCTCAACTGGCCTGCCAACTCTCCTGACCTGAACCCCGTAGAGAACCTGTGGGATATTGTGAAGAGAAAGTTGAGAGATGCAAGACCCAACACTCTGGATGAGCTAAAGGCCGCTATCGCAGCATCCTGGGCCTCCATAACACATCAATTCAATTCAATTCAAGTTTATTTATATAGCGCCAAATCACAACAAGAGTCGTCTCAAGACACTTCACATAATGAAGATTCCAATTCAGGTCAGTTCATTAAGCCAATCAGAAATAATGTTTCCTTTATAAGGAACCCAGCAAATTGCATCAAGTCACTGACTAGTGTCAGTGACTATACAGCAATCCTCATACTAAGCAAGCATGCAGTGACAGTGGAGAGGAAAACTCCCTTTTAACAGGAAGAAACCTCCAGAGGATCCTGGCTCAGTATAAGCAGCCATCCTCCACGACTCACTGGGGATCGAGAAGACAGAGCACACCACACACACACACACACACACACACACACACACACACACACACACACACACACACACACACCAAGCAATGTGTCCATGGTTACACCGTGATTGCTTAGTAAATATTCTATTTGGTGAGAGATAAACTTTATTGTATTTATCCTAGTGGATCTATAATTAAACGGATAAACTAGTAATAGCACATTCAACATCAAGGAAACAAAAAGTTATTATCAGGAGAGGGAGAAAGTGGTTAGCAGCAGTGTGCTAGACGATGGCCCCCTCCATGAGGCCACCACAGCTCAGCAGAATGTCATTGTAGCTTCTTCTGGGGAGAAAAACACTTACAGAGAAAAGTAAAGTTAATAGCTGAGGTAGCAGGAAATAATACATTTAAAGAGCAGATTGTAGAAGAAAGAAGTAGAGTGTGAAAAGTGGTCAGTGTATCCTCCAGCAGTCTAAGCCTATAGCAGCATAACTACAGAGATAATTCAGGATAATCCATCCTATTTAGATGGAGGCATGTTGGAGGCAGGGCAAGGGAGAGCCGTCTTTACCGACTGTACACTCCACCTCCCTGTACTCCCCCACTTGTCCAGATCCAGGCTAACATCAGATTTTAACTATAGGCCCTATCAAATAAAAATGTTTTAAGCCTGTTCTTATAAGTAGACAAGGTGTTTGCCTCACGGACTAAGGCTGGGAGCTGGTTCCACAGGAGAGGAGCCTGATAGCTAAAAGATCTGCCTCCCATCCTAATTTTAGATATTCTGGGAACCACCAGTAGACCTGCAGTCTGAGAGCGAAGTGCTCGATTAGGAACATATGGAACAATCAGATCACTGATGTATGATGGAGCTTGATTATTAAGAGCATCCTGGGCCTCCATAACACCTCAGCAGTGCCACAGGCTGATTGCCTCCATGCCACGCCACATTGAAGCAGTCATTTCTGCAAAAGGATTCC